AGTGTGCTGTTCCCCCGCAGGTCGGAGACCGTGAGGATGTGAATCCAATTTCATCAACCTCATTAAAACATGTAGGGACTTGGGTCTTCTTAGGTACAAATCAGTCTAGAGACTTAGAAGCATTTGTTAGCAGTGAGGCCGCTGAAGGTTTTTAATAATAAAATCACAAATACCCTGTCTAATTGTAAGTATATGACTTTTATGCTCGGTTTTTAAGGGGAAGAATACTTTTTTTTTTTCATGAGGAAAAGTAACTCCGCCAGAGCACCTTCTGTGATTAGCGCTATTGTATTCTTAAATTTTGATTGATAGAGATAATAGTTTTCACTTAAAAATACAGACAGGTACTTTAACTTTCCATGACAATAGCTATTTGCATTTCTTTTATCTTTTTGTTTAACATCTATGGGGGCTGGGATGGATTTGATTATTAACTCTTGTTGCACACACTCCACGTAAATCTAAAACAAAGGCTTTGTTAGAGCTTCAAAGAGAAAACAGCAAATATTGTTTTTAAGTTTCAACATTTAAAGCCTGCTAAGGGATACCTATAAAATATTTTCACAGGACCATGACCAAGGTTTTGCTTTCCTTTAAGGTAAGAGAGAGTGGTATTTTCCAAATGAGATGGGCCAGCATGGAGTTGCGGGGGGCCTGAAGTAATTCCACAGGCAAGCCTCGGCCAGGTTTTGCCTGTACCATGGGGCTTGCTTCATGTAGAGTAGTTCAGATTCTTCTTACTAGAACGGACCCCAAGTTAGGTCCTCTGATTTAGTTGAGGGTCCCAGAGGGTGGGGAGAAAGGAAGTAAAATGTTCCTCGCAGCAATAGGAGGGGGACGTAGGGGCAGTGACGGATCCCCTGTGGTAGACTTTTCTTTGGTAAAGAGAAGTAAAGGAGATGTGGCCCCTTGTAAACCAGCAAACCTGGGTGATGGCCAGGGTCGCCTCTGGTCCCAGAGACCTGCTCGACACAATAGTTTTCCTTTGCTTTTTCTTTCTAATTTACTTCCTTTTCCTCCCCCCCCCCCCCACCCTGCCCGTGTACTCTCCCTGTTTCTTTCCTTCTTCCTTCTTTTCTCACTTCCTTCCCTCCCTCCTTCCTCTTTCTTATTGTAAGCCTGACTCAGTATTTGAAGTTACTAGAGCAGAGGAAAAAAAAAAACACTTTCAGGTTGATTTCTAAGTGGATTTTCTTGTCTTGAGTGCGAGAAAATGAAGTGACCCTTGTATTATCATTTCTCAGCTAGTCGAGTTTGTGTTGAAGATAGTTTTGTTTTTCTAGGACATCTTTGAAAAACAAAACAGAAAAGCCACATGGGTTAAGATTCACAGGTTTAAAGAGACAGCCATCTCTTGGAAATTGGCCCTTTGAGATTTTCTGTTTTCTCACATGAAGTATATGTCATTTGATGGGGATATTTGGGAGGATGGGAAGTTTGAACCCCGTTTCTGGACTTCGAGAGAAGGGTTGCTCTAGCCAGAGATGAAACTCCTAACTGCCACCTTCATCATGGCGCAGGAGCTGGCGTGCATCATCCTCGCATCCCAGGGACACTGACACACAGTAGGTTCTCAGCCAGCATTCGTTGGACTGAAGGTTGCAATGAAATAAGGTGGCTGTCCTTCACAGTCTCTTGTATACTTGTACAAAATGAAATATAATGCTGAAATCCTGATGCAGATCATTTCCTTGAGCTGCCATGAAAGAAGAGGGAGAAATATTTTTAATGGCAAAAAAAGGAGCGTATATTGTTCCTTTTTCTTCTTGTGAAATAAAATCACACCTCCATGTTTTACCTGCACCTCGTTTCCAGCTAGGCCATACCAATTGGCAGGATCACACTGGTTAAATTAAGGGCAAATATACTGATAGAAAGTATGAAATTGAAGCATTGTAGTAACCTAAGGGGTCTAGAGAGTGAAATTCCTAATGGGGAATAGGGGGAGCTGGGGAGACAGAGGAAGAGGAAGGTACATTAGTCTCCTAACCTAGGGATCTCAGCTGAAGAGTAACGTCAGTGGTCAAGGTCTTTATGGTCAACAAATAGCTTTAGGTAAATAACATTATCGCAAACAATAGTTAAGAGGCCACACTCAGAACAGTTTCTGGTGTTCACAGGATCTTAATTGTACAGAGAATGACATCAAGGAAAATAAGTAATTTGTTTACCGTATCCCTGGCTCACCTTTAAAAACCTAAAACCAATAGGAAACTTAAGACAGAGAGAAAAAGAAAAAAAAAAAAAGAAATTCATTTGGTGCCAGCATTTTTTCTAAGAGGAGACAAGGGGGCTGCAGGGCAATATTTTTCTTTTTCTTTTTAACTTAAAAGCGTTACATAATTGTTTAATTTTTAGTTTTGGTGCTTGTGCTGCCAGTAAGCATGGAGGTATGTAGTTGATATATTTGATAAGGTGAAGTGTTTTGTTTTGTTTTGTTTTTAATAGCAGTTTTGGAAATGGAGGTTTTATGCTCTGGAAAAAATGAAATGCAGATTTTTCTCCTAGTTGTTGATTTCTGATTCTTGTAGGCTAGTAATGAGGCAGACTCAGGCCCCAGAACTACTCCCTAATTTTCTTGTCTATTATATTGACACATTTCATTTAATTTAGTATGATGGCAAACAGCTGTTGAACTATTAATCTTTTCTCAGCAAAGCTGGAAAAATATCTTTTAGATTACTTTGCTAATGTATACTAAAAACTAAAATCAACAGAAATAAATTAATGAGTGGTCAAATGTACATTTGCATTAAAATTTATGGAACTTCAAAATGGAAAAAAATAGGGTTTGTATCCCACTGCCAATTTTTTATGCCTAAGCAAAAATTAAATGTAGCCAAATTTGTATTGCTTTAGTGATTATAAGTTGGAGGGTCAATTGTATAATATTGTTATTATTAATTTTTTTCCTCCAGGGAAAAATTACGCTTATAAAATCTGTGAGGGGGAACCAGCTTATACTTTTGCTCTGTGTTCACTTACCTACTGTTCTAGGTAGCTATAGGTGAGTAGAGAAACAGACGCAGTACTTACCTGGAAGTGTTCTGCAGGTTTGAATACAACACTAGAGATAACTTTATTCAAAGTAAGCATTTTCAGCAGCTTTTTTTGTTTGTTTGTTTGTTTGTTTTTTACAAACATTAAATTTTACTAAGGTGCAGTTGTTTGCCAGGCCTATATGATCTTTGCAGTGCAATCTTATCTACATTGCAAAGTCTGATACTACAGACCTGACTGCCAAAAATGCAAAAATAGATGCAACTCAATAGATAAAAATGAAAATTAGCTTAGAGTGCACACGTTGGAAAACATCTCAAGTGAAAAGGAGGGAGAAAGGGCGTTCTTGCCCTGAATTGAGTAGGGTCTGCCAGAGTTCACTTACTTTCCATTCAAGATTGGATGAGTGGTGGAGATGGAAATTTCTGTTGTGTGAGACGGTTGCCGTGCCTCGTGTCTCATGAGCTCTTCTTATTGGCGTGGGGCGGGGCTGCTTTGTAGATCTCAGCATTACCTCGAGGACCCGACCATCGCAGCTCTGTTTTCTTATCACCATTTGCACTCTAACCAAGTTCTCACCGCTGGAGAAACCAATCCCTGGCGACACACCTCAGCAGTAAAGCACACGATTTTCATTTTCGATTTGAATTGTTTTGTGTCAAAACAAAAAGGTTTGGGGCAGGTTGCAAAACAGTAATTTCAAGTCCCAGAGCTAGGGTTTTCCCCCACCCAAATGGTGAACATTTATGGTGAAAACCTCCAATTTCCTCTTACAGTAAACATGAAAATTATGATTTCACTCAGAGCCTGCATTTTTTCCCAATCTTAATGGCAAGAATCTGCATACACTTGCTTGTGGAAATGTCATAAATTGGCCTCCGATCAATTCCTCAAAGATAGTACACACCAAAGTACCACTTTCAAATTTTTAGCCCTAGTGAAATAAGATTTAACTCTTGTCAGTGATGTTTGCCTTTCCACATTCAGGGCCAACAGCCGAGGGATGAGCAGAGATATATTCTGTATCAAATTTAAACCACTTCATTACATATTGTTCTGAAGAGTAAGCAAAAGGATATTAACGTTTTAGTAATAAGATGGTATGACTTCACCATCTTAAGAAAGTATATGTATATATGAGCATTTGGTCAATCGATGTGGAATGAATCCTGTACCCTGTTGGTTACTTGATCTAAATTAATAAACAAATGTTTTTCTTTTCACTTGTGCCATATGTTGATCCCAGTTACATGGGCAGAGAGAGGCAGCTTGTAATGTTTCTTAAAGGATTATACACTGTTTTGCATAAGGGAGTATGCAGATGCAGGAGTTAGATGTGCATGGTGCTTCCTTTGTGTTTTAGGAAGCTTGATTTCGGTTGTTGATTTCATCTGACACAAGCCATTTTTATTGAACTTAGTAGGTCTGGTAGAAAGTATGCTAAGTGGAAAACATTGTGTGAACAGCTTTCACCCACCGATGAACGCCCCCCCCCTCCGCAAGCTGAAAATTGTGGTGCTTTTATTCATTTTGAAAGGTCCAGAGTGGCATAAAGCATCTTGTCTATAAGAACTAACGCTCTTGCAAGGGGGAAAAAAATAAGCCTCTGCTTTAATGAAATTAGAGATGTCGTGGATGTTAACCAAACAAAGACACGTTCAAGTAGCAGTCTGGTTTCCAAAAACAAAGGCCTATGACTCACATGTTATTCCAAATGAAATAAATTGACAGACAACAAGATGAGAAAAAGTTCAAAGGCAAAATGTGAAACGCTTCATCTTGACTTTTTCCGTCCAAGTTGTTGTTATAGTCTTGAAGAGCTCAAAGGCACATGGTCCAGTAAGTGGAGGTCTTGACACTGGTTTTTATTAACTCTGAGAGTCTTTTGCCATTAAATAGAATTGAGTTCTTTGGTTGGTTTTCTTGCATCTCTCCCAGGCAAATAGGTGGTTGCTACTTTGTCTTGACATTCAGATTTTGATATTCTCTTTTGTTTTCAGGGTAAGAAGTGACCTTTTGAGGTGACTATAACAGAAGATTGCTTTACAGAAGCCAAAAAAGGTAAATGCACATATGATTAGTGGAATTACATCTAGGACTCTATCTACCAACTTCTAGGCATCTTAATTCAGTTCTTTTCGGATCTACATAATTATCAAATACACATGTATTTATTTGTGTGTAAGTATGCATGTAGCATATTTTCAGAGGCCTTTAAAGAAAAGATTGCTCTTAACAAATGGTTCAGATAGTCACATTTTCCGCCCCCCCCCAATATTATCACTTTCCCCCTGTTTGTGGAAATCGAATTTTTTTTTTTTTTTTTTTTTTTTTGGTTGTTGACTTGGTAGGTTTAAAGTTAGAAAGGAATATTCACATCACAAAAGTGGTGATTCATAAAATTAACTTGCTGCAAACAGGAGTAACGCATGTCCGTCTTCTGTGCTGAAGTGGTGTCATCCGATGGATGTTCATCTGGCTGGTTTATAATCCCTTCTTTCAGAAATTAATCGTCAGGCACCATAGCAACACGCCGCGTTGATGTAACTGCCGTGTGGCGTGGGGCATGTCCCTGTGATGCCAGCGCTCATCTGCCTTGTTCTCTTGACCTTGCTTGAAAATCAAATGAGTACTTGATTTTAAAATTAGAAGTTTTCGTAGAGACTAGTGTAGCTCGATGAATTAAAGCTAAGTTAAATTTTCTCAAACTCACTTCTGGGAGCAGGGGCAAAGAAAGCACTCTGGTTAAAATGGTTCTGGAGGCTACATTTTTTTTTTTTATTATTCCCAAAGTATCTCTCCGGTGAGGGCAGAGGTTGCCTCCCTCAAGTTCATCTTGCAGGTCACTTTCAAGTGTGATGTTTCTCAAGGAGCAAGCGTCTTCATTTTACTTTTGAATCTTGGCCAATGGTGTTTCCATTTGATTGAGTAGATAGATCTGTGTCTGCTTTAAAACACTTACTTGCCAGCCTGGTTACGACACAAAGCCTTCGCTCAGATCTTACCAAATTAGAGTTTATGAATTTGTAAGATACAGACTTCTCATTCTTCAGTTGAGCAAGGTTTTTTTTGTGAAACTTTGATAATATGAAGATTCTTAGATCGGTTTTGTTTTTAATCTCACCCAGGGTTTGGGGGTTCTAGAAGGCATTATCAAGGCAGGGGTTTGTTTTTCCAGTTGCATTCTGGCACATTTGATTTGGGCCCAAAAAGTCCAACCAACTTTCCTCATTTCACTGTCTTTGTTGTTTAAATTAAACCATGTGGGAGGCACCTAGTTGTCCTCCAGAGAGGTTATGTTACCTTTCAGATGTTCTGGCATGGAACGGGTTGACTGCAACCAGTCATTGGGGCTCTCAGGTCCTACCTAGCATGATTTCTGGCAAAGCACTTCCCAGTTTCCCAGTTTTAGTCTACTTCAGGGCTCTGCAGCCGCCTTCTTAAAAGGCTGTCCAGTCAGTATTTCCTGTCTTGTGGGCATTTTGTCTCTGCCACGGTTAGCCAGCTGCATGTTGTGTGTTCTGGTCTCTGTGATCCCTGCAAGATCTCAATCCAAGGTGTTCCTCATTGAAAGCCATGCCAGATGCTGAACTCATTTTGTGCTGTTAGCAAAGGTTTCTGGTGCAGCTAAAAACTGTGATGAAACAAAGCTGGAAAAGTGGTTGAAAAGATGAACTATCGCTCCAGCTCCAAAAATGGGCTTAATGAGTAGGTTTTCACTGTTTTATTTGGAATCACCTGTAAGCATAAATTATTTCTCTCCTGACTGATGTCATTATGATGACCTTGCTTACACCCATGACGTGAAAATGTTTACATTTGTGCAGTATGATTTTTCCCAATTCCATGATACTGTTCAAGGTTAAAGATATCATGAGTCAAGGGCAAGTTTGGGGGAAAAAAAGTTTTCAGGAATTTGTCATTAGTTGACTAGGAAAGGTAGTCCATGCGGAGGAAAAAACAAGCTTTTTTATAATTACTGTGCAGAACATGGTGTATTATACAGTATCCTGCAAATCAGGAAACCTTTGTCAAATTTAAGGAGAATAGAAAAATTTTGTCCTCCTGATGCCTCCTTTCATAAAACAAAGGAAGCTGAACGACGCACTCATCTAATTTTTCTTTTTGTCTTGACTGCTAGGAATCTCAGAGTAAGAGTTTTTGCTTAAGGTTACTAGTATTTTTTAACTTCAACTTTTTGTTGATATTCTGCTTTTAAGTCAACTTCATTCTTCCTACTCACAATTAACATTTTATTAACTGTTTTTCTTCTACAATGTCAGTTCCACTTGTGTTTTGACTCCCTTTTCAGTTTTTTTTTTAGAAATAAGATATATAGAGAAATAAATAATAACCTACATGTACTCTTTTACCTTTTAACAAGCTCAAGGATCCTTCGAAAACTAATCCTTACATATCTTGACCTCTTATACATGAAGGAAAAAAAGATTTGTTAAAAATATAAAACAATTTATAAAATGGATAGAATGCTTAGTGTTTCTTCCCAGTGAACAAACCTTAAGCAAAGATACTGTGCTGTCCAGTGATGGTCAAGAGACCAGCACCATCTTACACACTACTCAAAGGATAGAGATTTCAGATACCAGGAGCTCCTCAGTCGGTGGCATGCCCAAATTCGAAATCTGGGACTCATTAACAGTCAGCATAAGTGCAAATAAATGTGCCTACAGTGGCACTCTGGGAACAACTGGTTATGTGCATAAAAGTGGCCAGGAAAATTCAGAAAACCAGATGAAGACATTTTTCCAAGTTAGATTCAGAGGTCTGAAAGATCATAAATAACACTCATCATACTTGGTAGTGATAGAACAATTTCTTCCAAGTAGATATGAGCACTTTACAAAATGGGTCTGGTTGCTGGCATCCCTGAGAGGTAGCCAGTAATTATTATAATCCCCGCTTTACAAACTGGGAAACTGGTCACATTAGTAACTTATCCAAGGTCATGTAAAATACCAAGACTGGAGCTAAAAGGACAACTTGGTCTGGTCACAATTATATTGATGCCGTTCTATCATGGCTGCCTTGGTTTGGTGGTTTAATATATAGGTTTCTGTGTCATTTTTTTCCCCTGCTTCCCCCAAACATTTGCAATTCACCCACACAGTTTTTTGCTAAAACTTCAAATCCAATATGTGAAATGCATTGTCTTGGATTCAGTTCTGAATGACAGTGGGAGTTAATTGATGATAATCATGAAGCTCATATAGATTACAGTTAAATGGTTATTCTTTAAATATTGGTCATCTTCAAACTTCATTTTTTGTGTTGCTTCAGTTTCATAGTCAGCTTGTTAATGAGAAAGTTAAAAACAATCTAAAAGAAAGGGCGATCACTGCAGTTTTTCTTCCACCCCCAATATGAGCTATTTTTTTGTTAGATTAAGGAGCGATACGGCATCTTTATAGACTTCACTCATTGTGTCTTACATACTACAAATGATTTCTTGGTTACGAACAAAGTTAAAAATAGCCATCCAGCCATTTTAAATGTATTCATTGGTTCTTTTGAAAGTGTATATTTACGCGATTCAAATGTTTACTTAGTGACAACGATATTCCGAGTGAAATCCATTCAAAATGACCTCTTTATAGCATTAAGCATTCGAATTATTTGCCTATTCATGAAGTTGTTATAAAGACACTGGGAAAGAGTGATACCAGCTGACCACGTTGGCTGAAACGACTAGTCAGTTTAGTTAAGCGTTGAATTCCATCCTGCCTCCCCTTCATACTCATATACCCATGCCTGGGTTGTAACACTCAGAGTTAAGACTAGGCTGATATAACATAAAGACCCCAACATACAATGGCTTTAAATCAAATAGAAGTTTACTTCCCTGTCTCATCTAATAATCTGGCCCGTCTGGCTTGACTGGATGGGTTCTTTTCTCTTTTGTGCTTCTCTGCTTTGGGCCTTTGTCCTTATCTACATGGTTGAAATACAGTGAAGTCCAAGGCAAGCAATTTTCTTTGAAGCAAATGATTTAAAAATTGCACACATCACATCCATTGACGTTTAATTGGTAAGATTATGATCATTTCACAAGAAGCTGCAAGGACTGCTGGGAAATGTCTCTAGCCGGGTAGCCAGGAGCATGGGAGAATTGGAGAACAGATTTCAGGCGACAGTTAGGACACAGGCAACTTGATTGGTTGAAATGCCTCAGTCCAGTAATTTCATTCACTCATACATACATACAAATGTACATACTACATGTGTATATACGTTAATTCTTACTGCAGGTATTTTTTGATGATTGTGTGCTAGGTGCTAGGATTATAGCACTACATAAGCAGGATACCGCCTCTGTCCTCCAGGAGTTTATGTTGTAAAGGGGAAGACAGACATTATGGATGATGGTGACAGGTATTCGCAAGGGCAAATATTGGTTGCTATGAGAAGGTGTTCTCTAACACGGAGACCAGGGTGTCAGGAATTTATGTATTTTACTATTATCGGAAAGCTAAGTTAGACTAACTTGATTTCCTTGTATCTTTCATGCCAGTGTTGTTGTGAGTGTTATTAGGCATGTTAATTTTTTGTTAATAGCTTTACGGAGATATAATTCACACACATTACAGTTCACTCATTTGAAGTGTACTGTTCAATGGTTTCTAGTATACTCACAGAGTTTGTAACCATCATCACAATCTAGTTTTAGAACATTTTCATCACCTCAGAGAGAGACCCCATACCAACTAGCAGTTAATCCCTTCAACCCAGCCCCAGGCAACAACAAATCTACTTTCTGTCTGTAGAGTTTTACCTTTTCTGGATATTTCACATAAATGGAATCATACAATATGTGGTCTTTTGTGACTGACTGCTTTCCCTTAGCATAATGTCTTCAAGGTTCCTCCAAAGCATTTAAATTTTTAACTGTCCTACAACCTCAGAGTTGTGTGAGTTCTTACTCCTAAATCCAGCCAAATGGTGGCCTGAAATATTCTCACAAGGGATGGCATTGGGGGGAAAATTACTGTTTTCATGCTGTTTATATTTCCATAGAAATAGACTTGGCCTCCCAACAGTTAAAC